GCTCCTCCTCACATCACAAATCTGCACTAATAAATGTCCTTTTAATCCAGACTCAAACCGATTGTCCGTAAAAAGAAAATAATCTCAGTGTTTGGATCTGTGTCTGCAGGTGTAAACAAACACACGTGAGTGACGCGACTCTGTGGTGTGTTCAGGGACAGTACGGACACACACAGACAAATGACTCCGTAGATAAATACTGATGTGGAGCCACATATTAGGACATTTATCTGTCTGTAAATTGGATTAAATGAACAGAATGTAGAGAGTCTAAGCTTTATAACGAGGTATAACATGCCCACGTGAAATATCGGCCCCTATCAGCAAGCATATTGGCCGATAGCCGATATGCCTAAAGTTGCCCATATCAGCCGATAATATCGGCCAACCGATATATCGGTCGGGCTCTAGTTCTAACACTAGAGTTTGTTATTTTGCTCCTATCTCACAATGGAACGACATTTTCCAAAGAAATACTGAATGCATGCCATTTATTATTTCCCTAAAAGATCCAATCTCGATAGGGTTAAAGGTCTATATTCAAACTTGTGAACGAAACATACAGCACAGGAGGTTGATTGTGACGCTTGTAGCACCATCTCTACGCTCTGCTGACCAAACGCAGGCTGATATGGCAAATGTGATTCTGCTCAGGTATGTTGAAATATTGACGAGACGAGAGAGAGGAGAGGCCTGTGAACATATGGTTAGTGGCTCACACTCCCACTAGTCTCTCTGTGGTCACTTTGTCTGTGTCTTCATGCATGTGCAGTGTATGTGTCTGAAAGCAGTTGTATGTGGGAACAAGCACAGTTGCAGTTCCTCTGGGGTTCCCTAGCTGCACCACTTCAAAAAGCGTCTACATGTGTTAATAGAATATTCTAGGTTGAGAGACAGAGGCACAGAGCCCGATGTGTCACTTTCTCTCTTTAATGTCACATTTTGCTCAGATGTTAAGTGTTGTCCATAATGCACATGTCCCACTGAACACTCACTCACACAAAGCTCTTATCTTTTTATCCAGAGGTGTGCTGCCTATGCTGGGACAGACAAGCATAACTTAACTGCTATTTTTATATATTGTTTGATGCCTACAATGACATAACTGCATTACCTAACTGTAAGGTACCTTGAATAGTACTGGCCAGTGAATAGATTGCTTTGTACTTCAACAAAGAAAAGAGCACCTATTGTGCAACTCTGAGTCTTTAGATTTCATAAATCCATTTCGCTGGTCATTGGTCATTATACTTTTTATACGTTATTAATAAAGGAAGTTCCGGCCAAGATAGCAGAAATTTTTGGTATTGGAATTATGAATGTGTTTTAAAACATGCAACCTTCCAGTGCTCATGTTACTTAATATTTTGTAACACTGGAGTTAATCTTTAAGAGAAATACCAGTATATGGGGTAAGATTAGAACAGTGTGCAGCCTTTTGCACACAGGGACATAGGTTCTCCTGATTCTGTCATTTAGACCAGTGGTACTCAACCTTTTTCAATCATGACTCCTATAAAAACAATCAGTCATTTGCAAGCCCCAAACACAAAAGGTTGGCTACCAGAATGGCCAAATATTGGTTTTATTATCAGGATAAATTATATAATTATATATTTAGTAGACCAACAAACAGGAATCTGCATTTTCTACTGCATTTGAATGGGGTCAAGATTTCTTTACGATTATTGAATAGATTCTTTTTTCCCCTGTCATCTAGGGACTCCTAGAAATCATTATGGGGTCCCTGTGTTGAAAACCACTGGTAAATGGTCAGAGGTTTGATTTCATAGTTGGTGCCATATCACAGTATAGGAAATCTATCAAATATTGGATTTATTCATATTCTTTATCATGTGTCATATAATTGTAATTAACATTACAATTTGACCTATGGCTTCCATATTGGTTGCATAGTTAATACTGTATTCTGTGGAGTAAGCTGAAGTTTAAATCGCTACTGTGCTCATTTGCCTGAGGTCTATACCATATGGTCAATACGTGTGCGGATAACAGTGCTCCTCATACACACCCCGTATGTCAAAATGTACACAGATGTTACAGGGAAATAGTAAATGAGATAAGGTAGAAAAAAGTTATGGTGTGGACAAAGGCAGGTCAGTGCAAGAACAGATTCCAGTAGAGCTGAATCAAATCTCTCAGTATTGATATCTGGCAAACCAGATTTGAATAAACAAATATACAATTTACATAAAATCAGGTTTTATACCAAATGTATCCTGTTTTTCCCAACATCTCAGCTCCTCACAAATACATAATGGAGAGAGCAGAGAATAGCTGGAGATTAGCTGTGACTTGTTCCTATCCGGACTGCTCCCTTGTGTTGCACATCAACCCGATCTCTAATCTTGGCTTTCACACAACGGCGAAGAAAAGGCCCCGAACCCTCACTAACAACTCACTCAGCTACTCACTCGAGGGACCCTTGATGAAGGCGATGGAGGGAAGGGAGAGCAGCGCGAAACTGAGAGGCAAGGTGATAGGGAGAGGAAGAGGTGGAGAGAGAGAGGGAGGAAAGAGAGGGAGGAGAGAGAGGGAAAGGTGGTGGTGTGAGTGATAGAGCGCCACAGGCTAGCCTAATGAAAAGCCTCTCATGGCGATGGAGAGATTGCCCATGGAAGGGACTGCTGATTGGACGAGTGGTGGCTTGGTGTAGCGCACAGACTAATTAAAGTATTGAAGGCATCAAGGTGACAGGGCGAAGATTAGAGCTGCTCCCGAGGTTACGCCATCTGAGAGGAACTTAACAATGCGCCTTACAGTTCAGCGAAAGATGATCATTTCCCCGGGCTCAATGCAGTTTTAAGCCATTTCACTGCACCATTTGGTTGTCCAGAATTGCTGGTGTTAGAAGCATAAGCTGATACCAGATGAAGGAATGAAAGTAAAGTACAGTTGGTCTTATGAATGACTAATTTTTGGCATCTGTGTAGGATCGTCACTTGTATTCAGTGGTCATTTAATTCCTGATTGGATTTTAATTCAATTCAAACTGATTTTAGTCTTGATCTCTTTACTACTACATAATCATGATCTGAATTTGTCCAGGTCAAAGAGAATAAAAATAGTACACACAAAACATACTACTAGAAGAAGTCCTCTCCCATTTACAGTATTCAGTAAAAAGCCTTGTAATATTTGTGATGGGGTCCACAGAATGAACCAACCAGGCTAAAAATGCAACAAATACAAAAATGAAACCAAGACAGCAACAGCTTGTGCAATGATTAGCTCTACTAAATGTCAAAAGCTCTGCCTAAATATGGTTATAGTTACTTAATGCATTTTCAGTATAGCAGATAAAGCTCCCCTGCTTCTGAAGGTTACACGCTCTCTGAATCCTCTGCGCACTAAGATAATGAGACATAGCTCCACCATAATACAGCAGTGAACTCCTCTGTCTCTGATTGACCTTGGCAGAGGGCATACGTGCGTCCCGTATAACTCATCTGGATTCACAGTGGAAGGCTGCACTGTGCATGTGATGCTCTACCTGCTTCTCCTCAAGGTGAAAGACCAGACCTGATTGGACAACTCCGGAGACACCCAGGGTCAAAGTTCATAGACAAGCTGTCATCATATCACTGTCATGGCCGCTCACTTTTACCTCAAATGTTCGCTGTCGTGCCACGAGATCTTGACATTAATTTGACATGCCAGACTTTTCAGACATTATCGCTAATATTAGTGCTTCTTTGCTATGTCACATCTTGCAGTGCTGCTAACAACTCCCCATAGGATTTAAACCACCTGACTGTCTATCTGTGGAATTAAGGCCTCACAAGTAAACTGCATCTTGCTGTATCGTTTCAACAGCTTCCAGGAGAGAAATAGGAACAGGATGCAGAAGGAGCTCATTAGTGACTGGCATTTAAAACCCAATCCGGTGGTATGAACAAGGGATTTGCAAAACCAACAGAAAATGATTGACAGACAAAAACCTGCACAGCGTTTCAGAGCTCTCAAGTGACTGCGTAAGTGAAGAAGTGCACTATTATTGGAGTTGATGTCACCTTGCAGACCAAACTATATAAGGTAATAGGTAATTTTCCTTGACAGCAATCTTTCTCCAGACACGCACCAAGACATAATAACCATGCTTCTGTGACAGGTTTTATTTTTACAGCTAAAATTAACACATGATTTGGACTGAAATCAGTAATTAACAATGTATGACCAACAAGACCGCATTAGTCTGGTTTAGTCAACTGAAGCAATGGCTCTGTAACAGATGGTACACAAGCTTTGTTTTGTGACTGTAGGAGTAGTTATATGAATTGCAAGTTCTAATTTAAAAAGCGTTTTAATTTTGTTTTAGTCCTGATCTCTATGGGGCATAATTTAAAAGTACAGACTGCTACTTAATCCTGGTTTAATCTGGTTTAATTCTGATTTAGTCAGTCTAAACCAATTCTGATTTGTGTTCATCTTATTAGTATTATTACACTTGGTTATTAGTTTTTGTGTTAATAATAATAATAATAATAATAATAATAATAATAATGTGTTGTAATGACCTTTACAGACTTGTTGAAGCCTCTCAGAAGCCTCTGTAGTCATTACTCATTCACTCCATACTCAGTGGTGGTAAACTACTACTGTAGTCATTAGCTGCACCATCAGCCCCTTTGACCACAACCATCAGTCATTCACACACCACATTCATACTAGGTGTCTTGCTTAAAGACACAATGACAGAACTCAGAACGGGAATTGTTTCTCCAAACTTTGGATTGTCACTAAGCCACTGCTACCAGGTGTTGTCTTGGATAAGACCCTCGTTGGTCCTGCACAGTAATAGACCAAGTCATTTGACAGTGTATACTGTAGTTAAATCATGTATTTCAGTGGTGGTACTTTAAGGCTCTCATACTACAGTAGAAACACAGTTTTATAAGAAGGAAACTCATGGTGATATGGAAAGAGAACCAAAACAGTGCATTGGCTTGTTCAGAGTAAACGACTCATCTTTGTAGTACCTTGACAGGCTTCTTGCGTGTCTCTGTTGCCTCGTTGTTCTCTGCCTCCTCGTGCTCCTTGCTTCCTTGGGGCAGGTTGGAGTAGTTGGCCAGACTGCTGAGCAGAGATGACACCATAGGGCTGGTGTCCATCTCTTCCTACAAAAAGAAGCACCAAAAACACATTGTTAACATAAAAGGGTTTAAAAAGATATCTGCTCCAAAAAAAAAACCAAGTAGAGCCAATCAATAATTCATTTTGAAAAGCCCCAAACCACCATATGAGTTTATGTAACCAGACTGCAGGTACTGGGAGTGTTTTACACACAGATATTCCAACAGACATACTCTACTTTCTGGCCTCACAATATTAGGAAAAGCTGAGATTTAAAATCTTTATTATGTCACTGAAATATTGTTATTTGATCACAATAAGTGTCAATTTCTGCATGTTATACCTGTAGAGATAATATAAAACACAGGTGCAAAGTAGTGCAAGTTTGATTTACATTAATCTGATGCCCTTCACACAGTAATTAGCCCCATTGATCAATGTCAGGCTCTTTTTCAATCACACATTGTTGAGGACTACATAGTTTCTTGCAACCACACCTGATAGTGTCTTTTGTATGTGTGTGTACATGTGTGTGTGCCTTTGTACCTCAAACAGGGCCATGTTCTTGCCGTCGTACTGCTGGCTCTTCTCTGCAGTTGCATCGCTGCTGTTGATGAAGGGGCTGCTCTCCTTGGGATTACTTTCACCTGCAAGAAAAAATATAAAACTTTAGCCTTTTTTCTATTAAAACTATGCTTGCCTGAACAGTTGTTCCTCAGATAATTGTTCTATCATAAAGAAACTTGCACAAACACAGAGTCAAAGAAAGACACTTCTGAAAGTGCCTGCAGTCAAGAATATAAGGAGGAACAGAACAGCAGTTAATGGAGTGTATATTCACAAGATGTGCAATACTATATAGTCCATACACTCAGTCAGGCTCAATAACAAAGACCAAAGCAAATTTCCCTTGTGGATCAATGACATTTTGTCTGTCTAAGCCTAACCCATGGACAACTATTACCAATATTATTGAGTTTACTGGAAATGGTTTGCTTCCAAGCAGGTCATGTGCAAGCAAAAATTTGTAAGCATCAACAATTTAGGCTGACTGAAATGCCATCAATCATTGGGATTAATAACCAACACCATAATCAACAACAGCATAAAAATATATTTTTTTTTAATCTATTTTTCAGCAAATATGAATATGTTTTAACCATAGAATGAGGGAGAATCAGTGACAACAAGATATATGAAGAAACAGCTGGCATAATTTCCTTGAGTGTGTTTATTTTTACTTTGCACTACGTGTTTTCGGATGTGTGTGGTCCAGTGGAACATGCTGTGCCCAGTTGACCTGCTCCAGATCCAGTGTCCGGGGTCTGTGCTCTCCTGCCTCAGTCCTCACCCAGCGATTAGCCTTGGTGCTTACAGAGCTGCCTGGCCAGACGTGTGCTCTTGTCTGGAAATATAATTGAATTTAGAATCACTTTACCACCCACCCATCAGTGAGTACAACAGAGGTCTTGGTGGCAAAGGCACAGGCTCAGTGTAAATTTGTCTGATTTGCGCCTTCTCCTTCAAGTGTCTCTTTGGGGAGACGGCAGATTGCTCTCCCTCTGGCTCTCGGGCCTGCCTTGGACCGAGCTCTGCGAGACTGTGGTATTTTTAGACACGTGCCATGACGTCGGGACAGGCGGCGCCACACACATGCCGCAATAGGGCTACCCGAAATGGGGCAACTGAAATGGATCACGGTTGAGGAGTCCTAAACAACAAAATCAAAACTGGTTTTATCCCAAAATCTTAAGTATAAAACTATAGTTATATCTCTTGTGTAACATGTATAAAGTGGAGTGTTTATACATAATTCATTGTTGAAGATGACAGTCTGTTCTCTAAAAAATATATGTTTTTTTTTATTATGATTGCAATGTCAAATTTGTTATCAGTCTGAACCCTAGTCTTTACTACTGAAATGGAGTTTGATATTTTAGTACCATGACAACATTACACTATACAACTATAATGCAATGGGCAGCAAAGGATGCATGCCACTTGATCAAAGGAGTGTGAGCATGAATGCAGTGGAGTAGACTATTTGAGACAGTCATTAATATCTAGCAGGAGAGTGGATGTTGACAGGAGAGGAATGAGAGCTTAGAGACGCACAGGTAGAACAGATGGATCTGGACAAAGGGGAACACAGCCAAACGTAAAAGCTTGCGCCGCACTCACGGTTCAAGCAGCTCCGACCCAGAGGTTAAAACCTACACCGTGGCTAAAAGGCAGGGCAGTCCACTGAGGGATTTCACAACACGTGGATTATATAGATGTTTGTTTCACTCTATTTTCTTCAGTACAATACACCTGCATGATAAAAAAGACCACTCACTACTTAAGTGGGCTGGGGCACACTTCAAAGAGCCAAACAGACCAGTACAAGAGCCCTGTTTAGGTGGTGTTCAATAGAGGTTTTTAGGGTCAGACTAATATAAAGGCTGGGTCTGAATGCAGTGCCTAAGACGTGGAAGAGATCCTACCTTGTTTTGTCAAATTTCTTTGTAATTTGCAGCTTTGAAACATTCTATTGAACCGTTTGATTAGCGTTAATATAGAGTAAAGGAGGTTAGTGCATGCTTGTGTGGTATTCTCAAATGGAAAATAGCGAGCATTTTGGTGGAAATGGTTTGAGACCATTAAGGCAAATAACACCATAGGGAAGCAATTCAGACTTTACAGTGGAGACAGCACAGCTTTCATTACAGCTTGCTCTGAAACTGAAATTAAATCATATTGAATTCAAATATGCTGCATGTCTTTTCATTGCTACAAATTAAAATTCTGTTTGTAAAAAAAAAAGATTGTTAAGGTAGACAATGTTGGCTTGGATGTCACAGCAAAGTCATGTTTCATGTGGGAGAAGTTTGCCTTCAGGGCAAAATATGAACCAAATCTGAAACAATTTTCTATCTAACTATAAAATTACCAGTGTGTAAGAGTGGTAACAAAGGATTCCCTAAATCATAATGTATTATTTATGACTGATATGAAAATCACAGAAAGGTCAGTTATAGAGCTTTAAATCCAGATAATTCTTAAAATCAGTACTTCAAGGAGTTTAAGACATAAAGTACTATCTGTTTGAAAAAGATCAAATGGTACTTTCTTTCCTGCTATGAGATAATGAAACAAACTGTATTGTCCTTGTAGGGATATTTATTCTCTACATCCTTTAACCACAGAGCTCAGAGACCATTCTCCTAATCCAAGACAAAACCTTGGCCGTACCCATACTTGGAACAACTATGTATGATTTAGGATGACAAGGGAGATTGAAGAAACCAGTTTAGAAACCACACAAAGGGAGAATATGCAAATTTCACACAGAAAAGGCCAGGTTCAATCACCAGTAAATATGTAGTCCTGGTCTGAGCAGTATACACTGTATGAACACAATACTGTAATTTGTCATGATGTAACGACAGCTATGCATACAACCTGAGCAGGCAGCTGACAAAGGGTGTGACTAATCTACTAATGCATGTCCAAATCCATAGTGTGCTTCAAATAACAAAGTGCTCTATTTTGTGTAAAATCCTGTGTAATACCTTGCCTTGGCCAAATAAATGAGAGTTATGTAACTGCACACCTACACAACTGTCTGAAATCTCATTTTCACTGTGTGCCAAAGATTACCCTAGCTAGTGTATTGTGTGGTAATAATAAATAAGTGCTTTAAGTGGGACACACAGACACACACTTCTCATGATCAAAGTGATCTGGAGTACACAACACACATGGCAAATACCCCAAAGGCCACTCTGCTCGCCTATCACTTATCCCGCCATGGCTCATTTCTCCTCCCTGTCGAATAATTAAAACGCCATCTTCAAACGCATGATGGATCGTCCCATTGGAGACAACTGACAGTGGCCCAAAGAGTTTTGCTCCAGCACGTCCCCCCAAGCAGCTTATCCTCCTCCAATCTGATGCAATCCGTCCATCAATAGCTCTGGCTATCAAAGCCTCTCCCAATCTCTGGTCAAATCCATAGCTCTGCTGCTGTCTGCGCCTGTGATCATGTCCAGCACACTCACCCGAAACTGCACAAGCAGACAATTCAGATATTAGATTTCAAGCAATGATGTTACATTTTAAACACAATAAGTGATTTTATAATAAAAATCACTTATTGTATGATTTTATTATAATAAAATCATAATAAAAACAGATTTGAACCACATTCATTCAGAGTATTTTTTAACTGTACAAACTGATATTATCCCATAATGGATATAAATCAAAGAGGATACTTTTTGGGAACAATAACCAGTTTTTAATGAAGGAACAGTATTTCATACATCTATTTTCCCCAAGCAAGAGAACAACTACAGTGGCTCTATGGGGACATGCTTTTGTCTAACTGTGATTGTAATTCAAAACTGTAATTCAAAACAACATTTTGTACTTGTGATGGAGCAGGGAACTCCTAGAAGGCGAAACATTTGGTAAATGGTCTTTAATGAACCCTTGGCTCTCTATAACTTGGCCTGACTTTCTGGCACAGAAACCCAAAACATTCTTGGAACCAAACAGTGTCCTATATCTATAATAATAATGCCACTATTTATAAACAAAATGAATTAAACATTACATTAAACAGAAATAACAGTAATACTTTGTATGACTGGGGGAGACGCATTCCAAAGCCATGCTTTGACTTCAATGTGTGCTCCCCTCCAGCGGCAGCTTAACTTGCCCATAATGGCATACATATCCAATGATGTTTTCCAATTTGTACACAAATCCTCATGTTTGCACAGCTTTTACATCTCATTCAAAGTCATTAAGCGCTCTTTAATTTTTCACAATTTGTAGAAGGTGAACATCTTTTCTGCATGCATCTCTACAGTTATATGAAGTCTCATGAATAATAAAACCACGAAGTAACAACATCCGGTGTCACAAAAGCGTCTCTCTAAAGAGCCTTGATCAAATGCCCTAATTCTCAGTATTCTAACAGATCTTTAAACATAGCTGGGCCAAGATTACACGTCCAGGACTATTTGACTTATTGATTGCAGCGTTGAGCTGGTGACTGGAGTGTTTGTTGCATCGTTCTCTCTCTCTCTTTCCTCTCCCTCTTCTCTCCCTCTCCTCTGTCCTCCTCCCTGTTCGGTGTCACGCTGCCATTGTGATCTGTCTCTACGGAGCGGCTTCAAGGGGAAACGCCACAGAGAAGCTGACTCAACAACCGGCCTGGGGACACACTGGTTGATGCGTGTGTACATACAGATGGGTGACAAATTAGAGGAAAAATACATATGCATATGTCAGGCACGTTCTTGGCAAAGGACCCAGAAAAGTGTTGTACAGCGGGAGCACAACGCCTGTGGCCAATTAATCTCAGTCTGGGCAGAGATGGCTGGAATTCGGCCATTTTAGGAGAAAACAGGGACACATACTTTCTGGTAACTAACAGTGTGCTCCGAAAATATGGGCTTGCCTCAGAGCTCCCTCATGTACAAGTGTAAATAAGAGAGTCCCAGCTTACGGCAGCAGTAAACAGCCATTACAGTAAAATGGTAGAAATGTATTTGCTATTTTTAATTGAATGCATATCAGTTTTAAAATTGGTTTATTTAGCAGCACTTATATAGATACTGTGTCCAAATCATGGTCATCAAATTTTGGCTATGAA